CCTCAGGACATGGCGAAGAGCTTGAGGAGCAAATGGAAGAGGAAGATGCGGGCGGAGAAGAGGAAGAAGAACGCGCCCAGGGAGTTGGAGAGGCTGAAAAAAATCCTGGGAACCAACGCGGATGTCGTCATGGAGGAGGTCAAGGAGGTGGCGACCGTGCTGCCCCCTAATAAAGTCCTCGAGCAGGGGGGTAAGTTGGGCTCTCGCTGGGCGGTGCTGGAGTTACGGGGAGGGCCCCGCTGACAAACCGGACCGGCCCCCGAGCGAGGCCGAGGCGCCCGCGCCTGACCCAAATCTTTAGCTTTTAAAGCTAAAAGATACTGTTAAATCATTGAATCTGGTCACATCACAACATTAGCTTCTGTATTGCATCCGGTCACTTGTGGAACAAGCTTATTAACGTTTGATTTAAAGCATGTAATATCTTATAGAGACATGTCTCTCTGTGAAGACATCAGGTGAGTGAGGATTCATCCCTTAGCAGTTGTTCCAATCACAGCGTTATATTTGCTGTTAAACTGCAGATAGGATATAATTTCCCTCCTAGTTAAAGGAAGACAGTAAACATATAAAAATTGGATCTAAATCTAAAGTAATTTTGTAGAGATTTTGTCAAGAATAAAATGATTTTTTTTTTCCTTTTCAAATGTACTGTCTCAGGGTAGAGGGAGTAGGGACCGTGGGTTTGTGTGCTAATTAATGCTGCGTTGCACATGGTGCAGAAGTGGGGGGTATCAGGTGTCTACACGTAATACTACCTGCCTCTCTGTTCCTTGAATAGGATGTAATCTGTAAAGGAAGTAACCCAGGAAGTGGAAACAAAGGTTTTAAATAGCTAGATACTGGACAGGAGTCAGAAGGACACCTCTTTCCAAAACTGCAGTCCAAACTAAATCATAATCCTCCTTACTTCTCCAGTTTATGCCACTTAAGCTGTTGGGATATGATTTTTATGTGGCATGCAGAAGTCTCTTGAGATGCCACAATGGGGATGTAGAATAATATGATTCTGTGATTCTAATAATGATAGTAATAGCTGTCAGTCACTCAGTCAGTGTTTCAGAAATTAGGAGAGACAGGGAAGTGTGGTGAGGTTGAATAGCAGAGCCTGTAAACTATATTGAAAATGGAAATCGAATCCTATATAAAAATACTGGCCCGATTAAGGGTAGCTTGGAGTATAATTTGTAATTTTATCCATGGTTCTGATTTGTCCCATAAACCAGATGTAAAAGTTATTCTTTATGGGACTGTTAGAATTTATTTTCCAAAATGTTTTGGAACATTGTCAACCTTCTGATGCTGAAGCTGGAGGAAACATCGATGTCTTAAACCTAGTTTCTGAAGCAAATGACTGGCTATCTGTCATTTCTGCACCCCCTTCCAAGTCTACTGGCAACTTTTCTACAAGTTTCACTTGGCCTTTGTAGAGATAGCAGCCTCAGAAATACCAAAGAATATGTATATATTTCACAAAACAGCTACAAGTTTTGCGAAAGTAACGGTGTCATCTTTGAGAGGACCTTTCAGCACTAACTGTTTGTGGACACAAGGGAATTCACATGGCCAAATGTTATAAGGACTGAAGTAGATGAAAGCTTCTTCCCACATACGTACTTTCAACAGAGAGGTGAATAATTTTCCAGCCTAAGAAAGTATATAGGTGTATACTATGGACATTTTCCTGTGTTACTTTAAGGTATTTTTTTCACAGCACACTGTGAAATTTATTTATTTATTTTGTTGTCAGGAGAAAAAATAATGGAAGGTCTGGCTAGCCTTTGGTCAAAAATGGTTTTGTAGGGTTTTTTTAAAACTTTGTGGGCATGCACATATTTTTCAAGATAATTATATCCTCTATTTTGGTAAACTACTTTTATAGCTTTTTTCCTTTCGTCCTTTTCTCTTTGTCTTTAGCCCCTTTGATATGTTTTCTTTATGTCCTTGGACCGCTTCTGTTCAGTAGGTTTCTTCCTTATACTAATTTCTACAGCATCCTTGAGATTGCAGAGTATGAGGAAAACATTGTGCTATGTGAACAACTGGTATTATTATTTGTCCAGGAGTATTTCTTCATTCAGTTAATGTTGCGGCTGACTTTGATTGTGGATGTGCTTTTTTGCAGTCAAAATTCATGTAAAGATTAACCTTAATCGTATGATAGGAGAGGAATTGGGGAAGAAGCTTATGTATATAGAGTTGGTTTTCTTGGGGTGTTGGCTTTTTTGTGTTGTGTTGTTGGAGGCCATGTCTCATTCTATGACATTTGGAAAAAAACACTGTTAAGAAGGCCTTGTGTTCTGTTTCTCTGGTGTCTCAGGAGGTTTCTGGAGCTGGCACTCTTCTTTGCTGCCAGTCCCGTGCTGGATCAGCCTTTGGTTGTGCCAGCAGGCTGTAGGCCTCTGCAGATTCTCTGCTGACAAGTATTCACATCCCAATTTCAGGGCTCCCTAAACACATCTCTGTGGTGCAGATCTGTGTAGACACATCGGTGGATTGGAAATAAGGTTGAAATTAAATAGTAGAGCGTGGTTCAAATCTGTACTTAACTAGGTGTTCCTCTTGTAGCCTTGTCTCACTGAGACATGACATTCATGTGGTGTTAGCTAGCTGGGGACACCGTTCTTGGGAGCGACCATGTCACAGGAAGCCTTCCTGATCCTAGAGATTAATCCTCTCTTTCTGTCTCTAAAGATAGTAGACTTGACCTTGTGGTCACTTCTTGATGCAAATGTAGCATCACTGGCTCGTGCTTCATACTGTCATTGTGTTTCAGCTTTTCTCTTTATTCTTCTCTTTACCTGTCTTCATCTTCCACTCAATTTAATTTAAATTTTTTAGAAGAGATCTTAAACATTACATCATAAAAAGTGTTTAATTGTGCATATGTTTCAGGAAGCCTGTGGTTTCCTGTATAGTTGCAGCTTTTGATGGAGACCACACACGTTTTTAGACACAGTATTGGAACAGATGGCAAACTAAAGAATAAGGTCCTTTGCGCAGACATGGGCCTTTATGGAAAATTCTGCATATTTACTATCAGCTGTTGAAGTTACTGGGTTATAATTGTATTGGTTTGGAAAGTGCTTTCTACGTGCAAATACTGTTGTGTGTAGGGATATTTTTATCATTTTTGGCAATCTAGTAACAAAATAGCTTCTGTGAAACTGATTCATGTATTTTACTCACTATAGATACTTTTGTTTTTCAGATGACTGCAAAATGGACATAGATAATAAACGAAACAAAAAGACTCTTCTAGACCAGCATGGACAGTACCCAATATGGATGAATTCCAGGCAGAGAAAGAAGTTTAAGGCACAGCGTGTTAAAGGGAAAAAAAAATCAAAATTGGCCAAAGGCCTAGTCTGGTAAAATCAGAGTTTTGTAAGATCATATTTTACTCACAAAATAAGTATCCCAAATAAGTACATGATATTTTTGTGCTTGGCCACCGAGTATAATTTATTGTGTTGCATGGACTTTTGAAGAGATTGTTAGGCCAGCAAATCATGAAAGCAATATCAACTTGGTGTCTGCCAAACTTAAAAAATAATAATACAAAAAGTAAGCTGAGTGCCTTTGAATAGACTAAGTGTCTGTGGTTATCTGTTTTCTTGAGGGGGAAGGGTCTTCATCTTTTATGTTGCGAACATTGAAAATGCTAAAGGAAATCCTAAAAATAATGAAACTGTAAATGTTTTTTGTATTGTGGTCTTTGTCAATGTAACCTGTCTTGTAGTAAATTTAACCAAAGGATTCTGTAAATTCACCATATCCTTTAAATTCTTCTGTAAAATTACTTTTGTTGCGCCGATTTTTGTTGCTTTTAACATCTGGTAATTAAGAAAAACAGTCTTTTAATATGTAACTTAAAAGAGGTTATACACTGAAATCAACACCAAGGTTTCACAAAACTTCTGTAAGTAAAAAACCAAAGTCTTCACAAAGAGAAAGTTGTTGGAACAAAAACATATTTCATTGCTGTCTGCAACTGAAATATTGTTGGAACTAAATAACTGAAAGTAAACCTGATTAATATGAGAGAATAGAAATGCGCAGATTAGAAATAAAATTTGTTATTTAAGACCTTTTCCAAGTTTTAGTAAAGTAAATGAGAATTTACTTTTCCATATGTATTTTCAGTAGCCTTTTATTCTTCTTACAATGGTACTCATCTATCATGCTTTACATTGTGGGCATAGGATAAAATATTGCATGATTGCATAACAGATGCCGTTTGTACATGATTAGTTACAGTTGGTTGCACATTACTCAGCAATAACACACGATGACAGATGCAAGAATTAGTTGCCCTGAAAGCTTGTGTTTTTAAAATGTCTCTCATTACAAGGATGGAAATAATTACAGTACCGGTCCTGCAGTATGTTGCCTCTTGAAGTACCATGCATCAATACAGAGCGTAACCTTTGTCCAGCTTCATCCAAGATGGGATCCACATTCTGTAATTGCCCACAAATTGCAACGTATCTCTGTTGATAACTTGGGCATAGGAAATAGGATTTATTCCTTTGAAGGTAATTACACTAGTTTATACTGTGCTAAAATCCACTGAGAAGACATTGACCTGATAGAAAAGTTAGTTTTTCTTGAAAAATATGGTGGGATTTTTATTATTGTTAGGGGAAAAGTATTCTGATGCTCAGGTAAAGAGCTCCAAAGACGTTGGAGGAAATACCAATGCTTCTGTTTTCACATATGTTGACAGTTAATGAGACTTGGTAAGGTGTATAGATCAAAGTTTACTAAATGATGTGCCATTAATAACTTTGGACTTTAAAAATATTTCCATTAAGTTGATAATAACCCTGCTAAAAAAACCAGATGCTCTTATTTTTTTTGTTTTATTAGATAAATGGGTCTAGATTTCAGTATCAAACATTTAGATTAGTGCTACTTAAAAATTAATATGGAGGAAAGTGTCCTTTAAGGATCAAATTATGTTTATCCAAAAATGGAATAACAGTTTGTGTTTGTTTACTATTTTAATGACATAGACTGTATTTTGCTGAATGTGTGCTTTGGGAGGTTGTGGAGTGGAGCTTCTTGGGTTTAAGTGCTAACAATTTGGCTTCTTTCTGTAGAGTAAGCACAGTGCTATTTTTAACATGCTTGTTTGTAAATCAGATTACTTTCAAGCAGCTGCTGGTGGGAAAGCAGGCTGCTTTTCCTGTGTGGGGGTAATCTAATTGGCAAAGTACTCCCATTTAAATGTACGGCTTCAGAGTGAGTTTATTCTCATTCTTTAGGTGCGCAGCCATACTCTGTATCTCATCTTAATCAAGGCTGCCATCCCTGTACTGGCTGTATTTTCTCTCCCTGGAGTAGTTCCAGTTCTGCCTCTGCTCCTTCTATAAGAGAAAATGATCTGCACAGCTGAATACTCTTTCTGATTTCTGCTTTCATGACCTAGCCCTGAGCTTTGTTGCGCAAATTTATTAGTCTACTGCTTTTGTGACCAGATTAGGGATTTGGATATCAAATGAGAGACAGCAGATGCTGCACTGATCTTTTATTTAGCAGTTGCTTCCTACCAGCTGAAACAATACTGGCTGTGTGAGGTATTTCCTTCATGGTGTCCAGGATAGAGTCAAACAGGTTCACTTAAACTACAGATATTTTAAGACATCCTGTTTGATTTTTGAGCTGAAACAGAGGATAAGAAAGGAATAAAGCCCAGTCTTTACTGGGAGGCAGATCTTAGTCTAGTACTGATGTACTTGTGCGTACAGCGTTACAGCTCGCTTGAGTGAGGCACACCTCTCTGGGCCAGGAAAGATTTTGAGAGCCTGGTTGGGTGGGATCTGTAATCCAGGCTGAAGGCTCACTTGCAGACAGATAGCAGGAGCCTGGCTAAGTGCAGCACGGATGTAACCTCGGAGGTTGAGTCACAGATGCAGCAGGAAGTTTTATCTTCTGGGGTTTGAGCATATACTATTATTGTGGTTTAACCCAGCCAGCAGCTAAAACCCCCATGGCTGTTTGCTCACTCCCCCACCACCATCCAGTGGGATGGAGGGAGAGAACTGGAAAAAAGGTAAAATTTGTGAGTTGATATAAAGTCAGTTTAATATGACAGAAAAGGAAGATGATGATGGTAATAATGATAAAAGAGTATACAAAACAAGTGATACACGGCACAATTGCTCACCACCTGCACACCACTGATGTCCAGTTAGTTCCCAAGCCACAGTCCAGCCTCCATTCAGCTTCCCCTGAGTTATATATTGAGCGTGACATCATATGGTATGGAATATCCCTTTGGCCAGTTTGGGTCAGCTGTCCTGGCTGTGTCCCCTCAGCTTTTTGTGCACGCCCAGCCTCATCGCTGGCGGGGCAGTATGAGAAGCTGAAAAGTCCTTGGCTTGGTGCAAGTGTTGCCTAGAAATGACAACAATATCAGTGTGTTATCAACATTATTTTCATCCAAAATCCAAAACAGCGCTATACCCGCTGCTAGGAAGAAAATTAACTCTCTCTCAGCTGAAACCAGGACAACTATATATGGATATTGTAATTTCGTGTCTGGAATTTGCTTTAGATTTGCTTTGAATCTTTTTGAATGTGAATACCAAGTTTTTAGTTGTCATTGAATATGTGATTTACCTTGCTGAATCTCAAACACATTCTGTTTGGTCAGTTGATGGAAAAAAAAATCATTTGTGTTTCCTTACAATAGAAAATGAATTTAAACATATTAAGGTTTGGCTGAAATATGTTTTAAAAGCCTGTAGAGGGATTTTCAAAAAAGTAAACTATCTGCCTCTAAACAATGTTCTAATTATATCATAAGTTGTTGATCTTTATCTAAAAAAAAATTTAGGTTGTGATTGAGGGAGAAAAGATTGCAGTTGATTAAACAAAGTAATGGAAGTCTGTAACTGAAATGGCATTGTCAGAGTTGTTTTGGGTTTTTTAAATTGTGTAACTGCACTGTCATGAAACTTCTTTGTTGAAGCTTCCTACCACTGTAACTCTGCCACCTACCTGCAAAGTGCTGTGGTAGCTGTATTTCATGGACCTACGAGAGGTAGGGGAAATAACGTAGGCAGTTTTGAACTACAAGCATAAATGCCAGAACTGAAAGAATTAAATATTGTCATTTTATTGAAATCTTTATGTGTATAAAATGTGTCTGTGTATACAGTGTAAAAACTGCATTAGCAAATTGCCAAATGTGCTGCAGATTGTTGGCAGTTTCCTGAGAAGACGACAATGCCTGCTTTTTTTGACGCAGTCCGCAGGATTTGGTTTTAAAGTGAGTTATTTCAGATGCCTAAAATAACTGGTGGTGGTGGTAGCACAGTTCCTGGGCTTTTCTGGGAACTCGTTCCTGCACTGGGACACCTTTTCACCATTGTGTAAGTCAAGTGGGTTGAGGAACTAATCTAGCTGAGATAAACTGAAAATATTCCTCTTTTCCCCCATTTTTTTTTTCCCAGCTGGATTGGTTTACAGCCTTACTGTACAAAAAGCATTGTCAGTAGGAGGCAATGCAAGACTGGGAACAAATAGCTGGTGTGAGACAGTCCTGTTGCTTGAGCACTGATCTCATGTGCCACCTTTTCTCCTAATGGCACTAGCGGCTCTTGTTCTTAACACAGCTGCCATGCAGTACAGAATTTTGAAGACTGGGAGAGGTTCTGGAGATTAGGTCAAAGAAATGCATTGAATAGTGGTTTTGAAAGTTTTATTCAATGGAGGGTATAGTATTAGAATAATTGAGGTCAATGTTCCTTCTTACAGGCCCCGTTAAGTTTTGCTGTAACGCTCAGATGACACAGGCTCCAGTGGTGCATGTAGTCAGCTGCGAGCTTTTAGAGATTCTTTCTGTTTGCTTTATCTTCGGCTTTATCTGCAGCTGATGCTGCGGTTATAGAGCAGACTAAATCTGGTAGTGGGATGTCTAGTACTGGAGGAAGAATGTCATGACCACGTGATACAAAGTGCTCCTCTGTCATATGGTCACAACTTTTTTCTTTTTTTTTTTTTTTTTTTTGTTTTTAACAAAAGTAGCCCTCCTTCATCCAAAGGCTTTATACTGTTCTAGTATGCTACTTTTTCCTCCTGCAGCCTAAAGAGTCACTTGGGTTCTAGTGAATTTGGTGGAAGCTGGATGTCTGATCTGTATCAGATTTGTAGTGGGAATTTGTCTGATATTAAAGATTGTAGGAGCACAACCTTAGCGTTGCAGAAATCTGAGAGGTGCGAAGCAATCTATTCCTCTGAGCGGCATGGTCTTAATTGAGTTATGCCAGTTACAAGGATGATCAGAGTCTGAAGCAGTAACTATGATTTGGTCTCTTCAGGCCAGGGTTTTGCCATCAATTTTAACTTAAGGGTGAGGTTTCAGGGGAGGACTGAGCCTCTGATAGCTCGCTGCTGCAGGAAGAGGCTCTCCTTTTCAACTTTTTCCTCT